TGAGAAATTTTAGGAAAAAAAATTTTATAATTAATATGATATCAATATTTTTACTTGCTTATTAAAGGAAATATATATTATATATTTAAATAAATTTAATGAAGAAAATGAAATTTAAATTACTAAATTTTAAAATAAAGTTCTAAAAATCAATAATTTGTTTGATCAATAAATAAAAATGATTTATATCAATTTTAAAAATTAAATCAATTAATGTAAAAATAATTTATAATTGAGAAAATGAATTAAATACTATTTATTAGGTTGACTGGTTGACCCGATCAGTCAAACCGGTTGAACCAAATCCGGTGACTAAAAAAGGGTCAATCACCTTCTTATGGATTAAATCATTGGTTCCATAAAAATATATATATATATATATATATATCTAAAGTAAATTAGCTTTAAGTTTGAGGAGAAATTGTGCATATATTAAAAGTTGAGGGATAAAAATGTACTTATACTAAAATTTTAGGAATTTAAAATTATACAAATTGTAATAAAGTTAACGGGTAAGTAACAGAAGAACTAATAAGATATACTTTTTCATAGTTTAGGACTATAATTTAATAAACCAATTATGATATGAAGAGTCTACACACCCTTCAAATTTATAGAGCAAAATTTGGAGTTTAACCATTACTTTATTTCTAATGAAAAACTTACTGAAAATGCCATCTAAGGGAATCGAAAATTTCAAATTAATTTTTGTATAACAAATGTGTATTTACAATATAATAATATTTGTATTAACTACTAATTTTTTTTCTGTAAGTTATGTATAATATAATAAACAATAATAAGTAAAAAAATAACGTAATTTTCACTCGTCCGTGATAAAAACAAAAAGTATAATATACAAGAAAATATTAAAATATAATGAAGATCAAGGTGAAAACTAATGAGAAATAAAACTTACTCTTGAAATAAAAATGAAGGGCAATTGGGAAATGGTACATGCAAATTGCAGAAGTTTATTTCACAGTATATAGATCATAATTTATCAAATGCTAAACAGAAATGGGTTATGAATACAAAAGATAATGGATTTAAACTATAAGATTAAAGAGGGTAGAAAAAATATAAGGAAACAATAGGAAGATGGTAGACTTACCTTAATGAACGAAAATATGAAAGCTTGTGCTGTAAATAATCCTTAAAAATCTTAATTGTCTTCTCGAATTGTGGCAAATTCTGATAGGAAGATGAAGTAGAGATGGGAGGAAATATGACAACAATGTTTTAGGGGGAAGAATGGTGCAGAAAGCAAAGAGTGTGTGGGAAAACGGGTTGGCCCTAACAACTTACATCACCAACATGGAGTGTGATGCTAAAAGGATGAGCCTTTCAGCAACATGCACTATGTTGATGAAAAGTTACAACACCAACATAGAGTGTGATGCTAAAAGGATGAGGCTTTCAGCAACAAAGTGATTGTTGTTGAAAGTTAATTATATTGCAGTCAAGATTCCAAGTAGCAGATGGATGGACGTGACGGTGGAGTCATACATACTCTCCAAAATATAAGATTCGGATTTGGATTCTTAGGCGCAGTTGTTTTAAATCAATATTAATAGTTAAAAATACAATAGTTGAAGTAATATGCATCTAAATATAAAATGAATAGTATAAATGATTTAATACATCAAATATAATGTAAATAAATCAAAATATTTTAGATAAAAAGTACGAGTTAAAAGGAATGTAAATTAATATTAGTACATACCATTAATATATAAGTTAAATATTAATGTTGGTTATCAACTAAATGAGTTTGCATTATTTTTTAAATTTTGTACATGACATCTTATTTTAATATAATTGATGATCTATAATAAAAGTAAAATTATTGTCATATTATAAATGGTTAATGTTAAATTTTTTTTAATATAATTACTTATTATATTATCACATTACATGTTTAAATTATATAATTTTTCTCTTTTTTAATAAATTAAAAAATATAATACTTAATTAAAATAAAAAAGTATGATATTAATATTTAAGAACATTAAAAAAATACTTATATAATTACAATTCATACCATAAAATAAAAAAAAAGTTATCAAATAAGAAATCTATTAATATATTTAATTATAATGTTCACCTACTATAATTATATTTAATACCATTTAATTCATAAATTAAATTTGAAATAAAATCAATGATCTTGCAATTAATTTCAATTAAAGTTTAATTATTTATATTTACTTATTATATACATTTCATTATTAAAAATTACCTTGCAATTAAATAAATAAAAATTTCCTTAAAAACTTTTCTTAATACCCAAACACAAAAAAATTTCTCATCATCCAAACACAAAATAAAACAAATTTTTCATAGTCCATTTCATATTTCAAACTAAATGTTCTTTTCCCTTTTCATTTCAAATTCTAAACAACCTATAAGATGGAGGAAAGGGGCTGGTTTGAGGAAGAAGAGAAAGGAAGTTTCATGAACACAAACCCAAAAATACATTAAGGTGAAGCAAGTTATTTGGGTTCATGAACACAAACCCAGATCTGGGTTTGTGTTCATGAACCCAGAGTTTGGTTCACTAACACAAACTTAAATCTGGGTTCACAAACATGAACCCAAAGAAAAAGATGAGAGAAGAGGCTAGAAAGAATCTCAGCAGAGGAAGTAGACCAAAAAAAAAAAAACCAAAAAAATAAAAGGAAAAAGGGAGAAAATAGTTGGAGGAGAGGGAGATAATGGAGAACAGTTACTGTAATAATGGAGGAGATGCTGGAATAATGGAGGAGATGGAGAAGTTATTTGCTACAGTACACTGGGTAAGAGGGGAATTTATGTGATAATAAGGAGTATTCATGTGATATTATAAAGGTAATAAATATAATTATAGGATCATATACAAAGTTATATATTCGACTGTTCAAACGAAAAATTGAAAATTATTATGAATTCCAGTAAATAGTCGAATCTATGAATGTAAATTCGACTTTTATAGGCACTAGAGTCGACTCTATAATACAGAGAGTTGACTCCCAAATTCCATAGAGCAGCGAAACATTTTGGTGCAGAACAGAGTTGACTCTTATAGCTGCAGGGAAATAAACACTTCCCCATTCAAAGTCGACTATTATTTTCTAGAGTCGAATGTTTTGCTTGGAAGAGTCGACTCTCAAGTTATAGAGTCGACTCTCAAGTTATAGAGTCGACTCTTTGGCGCGGGATTTGATTAAAACCGCTCCAGTTCCAGTTTTCCCCATTTTTCCTCTCTCTCCTATTCGACTCTCTGAGAAACCTAACTCTCAAACCAGCCAAAATCCTCCCAAATTTCACCAAAATAACTCACCCAAACATAAACCCACACCATTTTCGGCCCATTCCTCTAAGATTCGTGCATTATCTCCCAAAATAGTGAGGACTAAAAGAGTTGTAAAGAAAACAAGGAGGCAGGCGGCAAGCACGTCTGGAAGGCATCGCAGGGCTGAGCAAAAGCACAAACACCGAGCAGGTATTTCAACCTGATAACCCTCAAAACTTTGTATCTCAAAATGCTATAGAAGCATATAATAAATTAGGAAATAGGAAAGCCATTTATGGTTTTAGAGTAGTTTTGGATGATATATGCAAAGGGGGGCTGCATATAAGAGAAATGTCAGATGCAATATGGTGGACTGAATTAGTAAGTAGAAATGTGAAGGTTTACCTGCAATTGATAAAGATTTTTTATGCAAATTTGAGTGATTCGGAGGATGGAGGATATAGAATAATAGTTCTTAAGAAAACTTTTGAATTTGATACTGAAACCATAAATGATGTTTTACATTTGCCAAATGAGGGAGCCATCGAATTGAATGCACTTACAAAGGAATCCGGAAAGAAATTTATCATGGGGGATGAGTACAATGAGGGACAAACATTAACCATTCTCCATTTGAATTTGGAGAATTGGTTAATGTTTTGGATTTACAATCACATAATTTTGCCAAGGCAAGGTTCTTTTGAGAAATTTAGTGGTCCAGATTGTGTGTGGTTTGCATATATTTTTTATCAGAGGCGGATCAATTTAGAACACCATATTATGAGACAAATGGTGTATTATAAGGGTAGATCGACACTCGCACTAGTGTAAGCACTCTCATCACATTACTTATGGAAAATGCGGGTGTTGATTTGTGTGGTATGGAGTCCCGAGACTTACACAGCCATGAGCTTCTAAATGAGAGTTCACTGAACAAAATGGGGTATGTATTCAGTGCAAAACAAATTCTTGGAAAATGAAGCAAAAAAGGAGAAGAAGAGGACAAGATGATGAAGGTAAGGGGTTTAATGATGAAGAACATGCCGAAGAAACTGAAGAAGCAGGTCCCTCACAAGCTACTTCATCTCGAGTTCCTCAAAGATTAACCACACAAAGAGGAATGCAGCTCATTCTCAAGAGATTTGCACGAATTGAATCGAAGCTCGATCATCACATTCGCGACTGTTAGATGGCAGCACCTATAGGTCCTCGAGGGACAAGAGGAGATTCGTCTTGTTAGGTTCTCTTTGTATTTTGATGATGATTTAAAACCATGATTCAAAAGAGTTTAATCTATTTTTGTGCTAAGTGTGCAGGAAAATTAATCCAAGGTTTCTAATCTTTCCCCACGATTAGAATTAACTCATGTTCTCCTTGTTCAGAGTTCTGGGTTCGAACCAATTTATTTTGGTTCGAATCAATCCTGAACTTTTGTTTTCCGAAAATGGTTCGAACCATTATTTCTGGCTTCGAAGCAAAAAATTCTGGAAGGGTAAAATTTTGACAGCTCAACTATCTGTTTATTTTTAATGGCCTTGGGGGAACCAATTGTCTGAGTGTTTTTTTTTAAGTCAAGTCAAAAACAATAAAGTAAGGTGGAATCCAATTGGAGCATATGTGAGGTGGCTTTGAAGGGCTAAATGGACTTTAATTACAAGGCTCCAAAATCCCCTATTATAATGATCAAAAATTCAGATCTGAAATGCACAGTGAAGAAGGACGAATTGCTACAGAGAACTCAGTTTGAAATTGTTCTGGTTTTCCTTCTTCTTTTCTTCTTGCGAGGCTTTTAGGTATATTGTCTTACAAGGGTTTTGTATTCTTCTTGGATTGGTTAATCTTTGAAGGGGTTGAGTGAGTTGAGATTCATTTGTGAGGGTTTAATCTTGCACCCGCAAGCAAGAGGTTGTTCCGGTTTAATCTTGCACCCGTAAGCAAGAGATTTCTAGTGGATTGAACTCTCGAGCAAGGAGGCTTGGGGAGTGGACGTACTCCGGGTTGGAGGAACCACTATAAATCGCGGCTTGATTTTCTCTTCCCTCTCTTGTATTTTTCTGCACTATATTACTCTTGTTTATTCTGCACAATAGCTTATAAATTGCAGCTTTGATTTAAGGCTTGAAAGAAAAAGAAACAAGTTTTTAAGTTTAAATTGATAAGACCCAATTCACCCCCCCTCTTGGGTAGCTAGCTGGGATTACACGTCTACTGCTGGCACATCCTCCGGACAGCAACCCATTGATCCCTTGTCACATCCGAAAGCATAAATCCTCCCGTTGCAGTTGTTGATGGCTATTAAATTATCGTTTTAGTGTTTGAACACTCTTTTGAAGGTTTTCTTAATGTTCTGACTTTTTATATTTTTGAGTATGTATATATAATGTTGACATTAGATGCAGTTTAATTTAATACATTTTTTAACATCAATGAGCATAGCATAATTGTGATGATTGGTATTGGTTGATTATGTTCTTAATGTGCTTCCATTGATGGCAAGCAAGTTGGTAGTCCATAGTGTGCTTGAATGGCAATTTGTGGATGTGGTTTTAAAGTTTGATGTGCATGTGGTTTTAATGATTCATTAGTATTTTTTACATAGTTAATGTTCTTGAAAAAAAAAAAAAAGGAAATGATAACAGCAAATTCTAGAAATTAAACAACGAAAATGGACTGAAGAGTCGAATATAGGCCTATATTCGACTCTTCAGGCCTATGAGAGTCGACTATCAAGTAGCAAGAGTCGACTCCCATTTTCCAGTAAGCAGCAAATGCATTTGCTGCAGCCTATAGTCGACTCTCCATTATAGAGTCAACTCTATAATATGAAGAGTCGACTACCAAATTCCAGTATGCTGGAAGTTAATTTGCTGCAACCTATAGTCGACTCTCCATCATAGAGTCGACTCTTTTGGATTCAAAGTCAACTCTATGATATGAAGAGTAGACTACCAAATTCTAGTATGCTGGAATTTAATTTGCTGCAACCTATAGTCGACTCTCCATCATAGAGTCAACTTTAAATCAAAAGAATCGACTCTACGATGTGGAGGGTCGAATACCAAATCCTAGTAAGTGCCATATTTTTTCCCTTCAAATAGTCAACTCTCTATGTTGAGAATTGATTCTTAGTCCTTTACAGTTGACTCTACTATGTAAGATTGGACTCTTAAACTATGTGGTTCACAAAGTAAAAGAATTTCATGCAAATTCTTAATAATTAACGTGAGAAATACTTAGAAATCATTAATAAATGTTGTAATGTCAAAATATATAAGATAATCACAAGAAAACAAGAGAAATTGGAAAAAAAATTGAAAAAAAAAATTGAAGAACATAAGTAAGATAATTATATTATGGTTCTTAGATGGATCGTAATTTTTGAATAGCAGCATCCTAATACTTTTTTTCAAATGTAAGACGCCTATCATTACCAAAAATCTTTGTAATAGTTTCGGAGGACTCAGCAGGGGTTTTGGGTGGATTAGACAAAGATGGTGATCGATAACGATTCGAGCAAATTTTTGCAATATGACCCTCACGGTTACACAGTTGACAAGTTACAACATATCGATGCGGGCAAACTATAGCTAAATGTCCAGGAGTATCACATTTGACAAACAGAATAGTTAACAGTATTAGGCAATGGAATATGTTGGTCAGTTGATACATTATTCTTTGCTTTTTTCAACTTCCTCTTGGAAGGACTTTCAGATGGGCAATTCCATAATGATTCAGGAGTATCCTCAACGATTCCTGTGTAAATAATATAAAGTTAAATAATATGATAATAAAAGGGGTGTACAAATGGGAAATGAGAAATAAGGGAAGGAAAAAAAATTATACCATTATATTGGTTGTCAAAATAATCTTGACTTTCCAATTGATTGTCAAAATAATCTTAACTTTCCAATTGATTATCAAAATATTTTTGACTCTCCATTAAGCAACAGAAAAAAGAGTTTTGAAATTTATAAAAATTATTACTTTTAAATTATAATATAAATATTATTATGTGAGGATAAAAAAAAATAAATTGCAAGAGTAAAGGAGAAATAATAAGAAATTGAGAAGTGTGAGAGGTGTGTATATATTGTCAATGAAAAGGTGTATATATATAATGGGTGAGCTACCGGTCAAAGGATTTTCAGCAACATGGTCATTGTTGCTGAAATTCACTTTCAGTAACAAGAACCATGTTGCTGAAAGTGGAATGGATGGTGTGGTGACCGGAAAATGTTAGCAATGAGGGGCATGTTGCTGAAATTCACTTTCAGCAACATACCCCTTGTTGCTGAAAGTGCACGTGGTGGTACTCCCTTGTGGTTGCAGATGGCTTGTGTATATATATATATATATATATATATAGACTTGGCCAACCACTGGTCAAAGAATATTAGCAACATGTTCCTTGTTGCTGATGTTTGGCTGGTAAAAAGATAAGAATAACGGCAACAAGATATGTGTTGCTAATACTTAAGGTTTTCAGCAACATAGCTCTTGTTACTAAAATTCACTTTCAGCAACAAGGAACATGTTGCTGGAAAGTATAACTCAATTTAAATCCTAGGGACTCACCGGAAAATATCAACAAGATGGAGTATGTTGCTGAAAGTTACTTTCAGCAACAAGAAGTATATTGCTGAAAGTGGAGATGCTTTTGCAGGTTGAGGTGTACGGAATTACTTTCAACAACAAGCCCTATTGTGCTTATACATATTTTTAGCAACAAACAATCTTATGTTGCTGATATATTGTTGCTAAAAGCCAAAATTTTAGTAGTGTGCAGTCATCCAATGAACAGTGAAACCAATACTTGATCTTGTTAAAGTTTTGGAATTTGAATTTTGTCATTTTAAAGTAAATTTATATTATGTACTAAGGTTGCAAAAAGCGCTAAATGATGGTGAGTGGTTACCCACAATCTAGAGTTTAAAGTGCATAGATAGTATTTAGCTTGCTAAAGAGGTTGCTTTCTTTTAATAAGCTTTTAATATAATTATAAGAAAATAAGAAAAAATTTAGAATAATTTTAAAAGTTACAAAATAAACAAAAAAAAAAAAAATTTTCTATTCATTATCATGTCTAAAAAGTAATATTTAGGAGAATTACTTAACATTTAATTTTTTAATATAATTTTTATAATAAATTAAACGACATCTATTCATTAGGGTAAAAATAAATTTACTCAAGTGCTTTAGACATCATTAAACTTGCCTAATAGTGCCTAAATGTGTTTAATTGATTTATACGGTGCAAACTACGTTGAATTTCCTCATAGAAGTTGACGTGAGCAGAATGGCACTGCCTAGGCTGTGCCTAGGCCCGCTTTTTACAACGTTGCTATGTATAGCATAATGAAGCTGCTAACCAGTAAATGACATCATAAAAGGTTAAAGCAGCAAACATTCAGAAGTATTAGCTGGAACTTTGTTATCTGGTGCCAGGCTAAGGTCTCAGTTGTAGATGGGGACATCTGCAGTGTGTTTCTCGGAACTGGTGGGTGAGTTGATTTAATAAACTATCTCGATAAAATGAGTAAATTCGTAGAGCAAAGATCCCAGAAAATGTTTTGTCATGAAGAACGATGCGGACTTCTGAAATTTTATCAATGTTGAACCAGTATTCTGTTCTACCATGAAAATCAAGAGCCAGCCGTGTAATGCTGGTGAGATCTCACATGAAAGTTTCAGATAGTCTGCATTACTCTGTACCTTATGTACAGGATATTTACACTCTCTACATGGCTCAAACAATCAACTCATCACGAAGACCAACACCATCATCAAAACAGACTATTATTTTCAACCTCTCTAATGTTCTAATCACCTAGGCAGCAATGTCAATGGTTACTATAGAACATTGGAAAACAGCCAAGATTTCAATGCCAAAAGCCACATTGATGATTGCATATGCATTAAAGCCGTACAAGGGCAACAAGGTGATGAAAACTGCGTGAGGTAGGTGGTAGTAGTTGCATCAGTGGTTGAGGTTAATGGGGGCCAGTTTTACTTTCAGGTCTTGAGAGAATTTGAGCAAATGTATAACGGTGATAGAAAAATATCAAGACACTTACAAAACAGGTTAATGCAGCTTCACACATTCGAGAACTATTCTTCATTTTTTCTTATACTTTATCACCATATATATATCATAATCGTACCTCAGAAAAAAGTTTAAATATGCATATCAAGTTCTCCACACGAGAATTACAGTAAACTAAAATGTATAATCCGACATTGAATTTTCCCTCTGAATATATCAGGATAAACATCAAGTAGATGATATATAGAAAGCATTGAAGGGGGAAAGAAAGACTTCAAGAGGCATAAAGACACAGATAACGGCACTTCTTAGTCACCAGAAAAATAAAAAAATACAACGAATAAAGTCTTCTACCCTACCACTGCATGTGGTAAAGACTAAATGCTGCAACTTTTTCAAGTAATAACCTGCTTTGACTACCACACGGCACGTGGTAAATGAGTGCAACTTTTTCAAGAGCCTGTTTTGATATAGGAGTTGGACCGCTATCGAGATTGAGAAGAACATTTAGCGAGTATTATATAGTTTCTGAACCAACGGCATGAAAGAGGCCAGAATGCATAAAAGTTTCAACAAGCTGATTCTATCATCTAGTAGAAAGAACTATGAAACCAATTTTGACAGAGATTTATCGATCACTTGACACTACAACACTTAACATCAATTCAACCATTTCAAACCATAATTAACAACCTTGTCAATTCTACTTAGAGCACGGATAAACTACTTCCTTTTCTCTTCCAAATATGGCCCTAAGTGAATCCAAACCTCAGCAATTTGTATGCATTTTGGAGCAAGTATAGAATACATAAACATAAATACGGTAAGTATGTTCATATTTGTTGATATATAATGGACTTGGCAAATATACCAGAAGGTTCAGCTTCAGAAATGGCGGAGAACATCAGACAAAAATATAGGGACTGGGAATGGGGGAGCTGAGAAAGTGTTGAGGTTGTTGTAGTTGATGGTGGCTCCAAATAGGACTGGGCATCGGGTGTGGATATATCTAATATCTGCATATCCCTGAGTTATTTGAGTAGATATTTTACTTATATTTGGGAAAAGATAATTAAATATTGAATATTAAAAATACATATTTATTAAGTATTTGGTATAAAAGTTAATATTTGTATATCTAACCCATATATTTAATATCTATAACCTATCCATATATCTGATCTATATACTTAACTTTTATAGTCAAGTATATGATTATATATTTATAATATTATATATATTATTAATATTCTAAAATTATAATGACCAAAAAAGATTAAAAAAGTACGTCCCTCTTCTAGTAGCCCCTAAATAGTAGCCCCTAAATAGCCTTTCTAATTTCCACAGTCTTCTAGAATTATCTTCAATTTCTAGGACTTACATAAGCTTGTATTACATGTATGAATTTATAGTTGTTTAATAATTTATATATTTTTAATATAAAATTTAATAGGAGTTAGTGTTTGTCCGCCTTATCTCTAAAAAATTAAGAAGAAAAAGAATAAAAATCACCTTAATACATGCTTTCAAAATATAGTAGTTTAGTTTTTTTCAATAAAAATTTATTGAAATAACGTAATTTTAGAATAATTTTCCTCTTATTTTTTAGGAGGTAAGGTTGATAGACATTTTTTTCTATTTAATAAATATATAAATATATTTGTAAATATCCTTGCACCTAATAAGTTAAATATCGGGCATAAAATTTTAATAACTAAATAAATACTAAGCATTAAAATCTTATACATGTTACTATTCAAATCAAATCCAGAATTGAGCAAATACCTAAGCCATACCTACCATGCTCACCCTAGTTCCAAAATGTGATGTCTTTTGTGGCTGTGGACTTTGCTCACCAGGCCCAATTGAATCACAGGCCGCCTATGGCCCACTTTTCGTCTTAACACAGTTAACTAAGTGATGGAAGCCCATGACATCTGAAGACAATACATTAAAAAAGGCCCATGAACAAGATCCATGGAAATGAATCCTGCTAAAGGAAAAGGAAAACGAAGAAAATGAATCCTTTGTTGAAAGTTAAAGTTTTATATCTTTTACTTTTTAGATGAAATTCATAAAAACATTTCTTAAATTATTATTTTATTACTTAAGAAATGTTTTATTTTACAATTCAAATTATAAAATAAAAATTATTAAATAAAGATAATATCTAATATTAAAAAATATACTTTTTTTAAATAATTTAAATTATATAATTCAATATAATCAAAATTATATAAAACTTTTTTTTTTGTTATATCAATGCATCTATGTATAATGATAAAGGCATAAATTTGAGGCTTCGCCACTGTTGCAAAATGGCTTGGTTGGATGAAAATGTTTGTGGGTTTTTTATTTTTTTTATTTTATTTTATATAATAAAAAATAAATATTTCATAATTAACTTTATCATGTTTCATATAATTCCAATTTAAAATTTTTAACTTTTATTAAAATGATTTAACTACTTAAATATATACCATCCATGGTTAAAAATTGTTTTCTGTACACAAAAAAAAAAAATACCAATTAATATGACACGTAGATAGCTGGCGTGGCAAAATATGACACGTCATGCGTGTTTTAATGAAGAATGTAAGAGAGATAAATGTGTGGGCCCGGTCAACGGTGCAGCCACAGGAAGAAAGCAAAGAAATAGAAAGCGCGTCCGACAACATCGGAAGTGGGGGCCCCTCACCACTCTCCGCCGCTCCTCCCACTGATGGACGGTTAGTCCTCTTCTTAATCCTTCCCGCCCATTTTTCTAAATTACTGATTTGATCATGTTTTCTTATGGGCCCCAAAAATTAAACCACCAAAAAATGGGAAAATTCACTAGAACCCTTCAAAAATAACAAGAAAATTAAAAGGAAAAAAAAAATTATCTTGCAAAAGAACAAGAACAGAACGCAGTTTGTGGGGTGACTTGTGGGGGTCCTCCACGCTCCAGAGAGAAAGAGAAAACGTAAACAAAAGGAAAGAAAAAGAAAATCTCTGGAAAATTGAGAGAGGGGGAGAGAAAATACACAAAAAGATTATTTGATTAGAAGAAGAAGAGGACCAAAAAACAAAGAGAAAGAACTATAAAGGCTCCCCCTCCTCATAGAGATCAAACATGGTGGAAAAGAGGGTATCAATGTTCTGAGAAGATCATCCTGAAAAGGGCAGTAATAGAAAAAAAAATAAAATTTGGTTCTTGTAAATCTCAATTTCCGCAAAATCACATTTTTCACATTTTTCTTCTTTGCTACCTTTTGGAGTCTCAATCAAACTCCCCCTCATCTCCGCCTTTCATCAACCTACCTTGTCCTTAGGAGTCAATATTTTTTCGTTGTTATTACCATATCGACCCAACAACTCAAAAACCCGTTATTGTCACACAACATCAGCATCAGAGAGGGAGAAAAGTTTTAATCTTGGGCACCCTTAACGGTGAATTCTGCTCCCTTTCTTTTTGTTTGTGTTTCTTATTGGCTAAAGGTGGCCTTTTGCTTTTTCGTGAGATTGCTTGCTCATAAGGGTATTCTTTCTTCCCCTTGGTTCTTGTCAAATTGTTAACTTTTTTCTTCTCATTTTGCATTTTCAGCTCCAACCTTTGATTTTGGAGATTGTACGGAGAAGATAAAGCTGTTGAGGAGAATTGATATGCCCCATTCAAGGAGAAGGGTGTTGTGAGATCAATTAAAAAAAAAAAAAAAGATGAGGGACCCTAATACAATCATCATCAAATGCGGTCAATTTGCATATCTCTGTAATATAGTTTTTGATGTGTAGTGTACCAAAGCAAACATAGTTTGCTTCTTGTTGTTCTAGCGAGTTTGAAGGGGTGCTTTGGATAGGAAAACCTGGCGATTTTGTATAGTTGTTGGCAGATATAATTGTCACCTCTACCAGTGCTGAATTGGTCCTTGGAGCAATGGGGTGTAGATGGAATCCAATTGGATTCCAGTTCTACTGCTTCTTAATTGTGATTTTTGGTCTACTGATTCAAGGGGCTTTGTCCCTTAACTCTGAAGGTCATTCTCTTTTGATTGCGTTTTAGGATTCTAAATGTAGTCCCTGAATTCAATTCCTAATTTTTCTTGCTTCATTCTAATGGAATCCTTGAAATGCAGGATTGGCTTTGTTAGAATTCCGGTCAAGAATTTACTCTGATCCCAACGGTGCTGTTGCTAATTGGAATCCCCATGATGGTAATCCCTGCTTGTGGTTTGGGGTGCATTGTACGGATGGTAAAGTGCAAATGCTGTAAGTCCCCGGTATATATTATCTTCTACACATTCAAGAGATGTAGGTGTATTATAGAATATTATTGTCATAATATTATTTAGCACAGCTCTCATGTCTCATATAATACAGCATTTATATTTGTCATAAAGGATCTGGTTTAGAAGATCTTTACCTTGCACAACTAAATAGTTGAAATGATAAGATGTCTTTCTGTTTGCTTGTAGGGATCTGAGTAAGCTCTCTTTGGAAGGGAATTTGGTGCCTGAGCTTGGGAAACTTCACAACCTAAGATCTCTGTAAGAATTTATAATCTGACTGTGTACTAGTGGATTTCTTCTTCATGGATTACATTGGGAATAATGATTAAATTGCCTCATTCCTTTTAGCCGGAGACCTGTTTGTTAAAATTTACGACGATTGGTCTATTTCCTACCTCATGATGTTTAGCAGTCAAGTGCTGGATTTCGATTTTAATACTATGACTAGGAAAAGTGAATGTTAAAAAGTATGTAGGTACTGTGTTTTAGGATGAAATACTTAGATTTACTTAGATAATAGCAGAGAGATAGAAAACGGAAACGCCTGCCTGCTAATGATATATGGACCAAAGGCATGCAAGGATGATGTGGGATTTCTGTCTGGCTGCCATATCTTTCAAAATTCCTTCTAATCATGTTTTATCTTGTCATATGTAAACTCAAAAGTTTTTTCTCAGTCAACAGTTGCTTCAGACGCTTATCATCATGTTTATCTCATCATTGTTTACTAGCTCATCTATAGATTAAAATCTTGTCATATGTAAATTCAAAGTTGATTCTCAATCAATGGTTGCTTTTGAGAATTTAGATGTACTTTATAGAGTATTATGTTCAAGAATATAATATCTGTACATGAGTTTTGATCTGTACCCTTATATTAAAGTGATTGTTCCACTCTCATGACTTCATTAAATTTTCTGGTTCTTGCTATTCTGTCTGTATTAACAGTGTGCTCTATAAAAATCGGTTTTCTGGTACCATTCCAAAGGAGTTTGGAGGGCTTACAGAGCTGCAGTTATTAGATTTGAGGGAGAATAACTTGGGTGGTAGAATTCCTGGAGAGATAGGCAGTTTGCTGTCTCTGAAACACTTGTGAGCTCACTGTGTTTAATTGACGTGTATGTAATGCCTCATGGTCCATCACCTTTGACTAAATTTCCTTTTTCTCCCTAGGTTGCTTTGTGACAATAAATTTGAAGGGAGCATTCCTTTGGATCTTGGGAGGCTCAAAATGCTCTCTGAAATGCAGTTTGATATAAACCTTACATACTCAGCAGATAGTGGAATTGGCTGCATGAATAGAAAGGTTGGACACTGGTAAGAACCCTATTCTATGCAGTTGATTTCTTGTTACCTTGCTCACCTATTCTACAAGGATGCCTACTGCAAAGCAATTGGTAAACACGAAACTAGAGAAAGCTATATTTTTGTTATCTATTGTGTAGCTTATTTGTGTGCGAATTGTCTTAGTGCTTAATTTCTTTAAAAGTCTAGCTGCAAAATGATTAAAGAAAGTTGGGGGGAAATTGATGTCTCATAGATTTTTCCATTAATTAACATGAGCAAGTGCATTATCTCTTTCTACTGACCTGACGAGCCTGTTTAATATATCTACACAGTTTCTGATCATTTTTTTCTTCATTGACAGCATCTGGCATAGCAGTTTGAACCAACTAAACAAAGCAGAATCCTTTTTTTCGGTACATAACAAGGCAGAATCCTTGTTAATCCTAATCAAAGGAGCAATTTTACGTTACCTCAGCATTTTGCCACTGCACCTGTATGAATATATCAAGTTTGTCTATTACTGCATGACTTTAGATGTTGGTTATATCATTTTAGTTTTCTTTCTTTCTTTCTTTACCATGTTCTTTCTGTTCACACACTTTACTTCTTATAAGGTTCAAGTTGCAAAAGGATTCACTGGCTGAACCTCAAGACTATCCTGATGTTACCGGTGAGTAGAAAGATTTTACATTATCTCAGTGCATGAACATCAATGTTCGTGCTTCTGGTTGACAAAATAACATTGATTCGTAATCAAGCAGGTTCATCTGAGCAACACATGGTGCAGAATGTAAAGAATATTGTCCACATTGTACGTCGTAGACTGCTTGAGCAGACTCAGAACCTCCCAGCTGCACCTGCTGAAGGTGAGTCACCTGCTGACCAGATCGTTGCTCTCCCAATAACCCGAAGCAGTGGGAGTTTCCCAGCTGTGCCTAGTGCAACCAATAAACAGTCTCCACCTGCACCACATGATTCTCCAGTACAAGGGACTACTTCAGGCCAGTCTTCTCAAACCTCTAATGGAGCCAGTCAACAGCCTCCATCTCCTCAAACCTCTACTGAAGCCAGTCAACAGGCTTCATCACCTGCGAACTTATGGAAATATCTCATTATCATTCCTTGTGCGGCTGTCTTGCTCATTGCTCTGCTCATGCTCATCCTATGCCGAAAACGAGCAGTGAAAGCCATTGGTCCCTGGAAAACTGGATTAAGTGGACAGTTGCAGAAAGCATTTGTCACAGGTAATCTTGTGGTGTGACGAAAAGCACATTATTCAATTATATGGCAGTAACCTACTTGATTCATCTTGTTGAACCGTAGAATAATTAAACTTGTCAGTTGATTATATTTTTTCCTATATGCTGCTCAAATAAAGTGTCCCATCACATCATAAAAATTGAATGTTTAACGAAGTTATAAATGCATTATATATGATCTGATAATTTCAGGAAGTATTAATGCTTTAAAACACCATTTATTTTCAAACTTAAGCATTTACTTATACCACAATTCTATGGCAATGGCCTTGTCCTTGTTGATGTCCTAGTTTATACCAAGGAGTATTGGGTTCAAGCTCTGAGTTATATATTACAGGACAGCTAAGGTTTCAATCAGTTTCCAGCATATATGGTCATATATCATTGATACACTCTTACATTCAAAATACAGGGGTGCCAAAGCTGAACCGGGCAGAGCTTGAAACAGCCTGTGAGGACTTTAGCAATATCATTGACACCTTTGAAGATTGTACCGTGTACAAAGGAACACTGTCCAGTGGAGTTGAGATTGCTGTTGCATCAACTTCTATTACCTCTTACAAAGACTGGTCAAAGAACTCAGAGATTACCTACCGGAAAAAGGTTTGCTATTTTTGTTCAGCATGGGAAATCAATCAACATTATGGCCATTGAAAGTAACGGATTTCATACCTAAAAAGTTAAAATTTCTTTCTCCATTGTTAAATTCTTTCATATATGTGCTTACTGCAGATTAATATACTATCACGTGTTAACCATAAGAACTTCGTCAATCTTATTGGCTACTGTGAGGAGAACCAACCATTCAACAGAATGATGGTGTTTGAATATGCTCCTAATGGAACCCTTTATGAGCATCTGCACGGTACTTTAATCCCTTATGTGCACCTTTTCAAGCAGATCTTTAAGTCAAGTACAGTAGTTTTGTATCTTTTGAGATGCTAAAGTTTCTATTTTTGTCTTCAGTTAAAGAAACGGAACATCTTGACTGGAACGCGAGGATGAGGATTGTCATGGGGATAGCTTACTGTCTTCAGTATATGCACCATGAACTTAATCCTCCTGTAGCACACTCACACCTGACTTCAAGTGTTACCTTTTTAACGGATGATTATGCTGGAAAGGTAGGTGGACAACGTTTGCCACAATTTCAGATATCCTTATTTATTACGCCCAGTGCATGAATTCTCACCATGACTATCTCCTTTGCTCTCTCAGCTTGCAGAAAGAGCCTTTGGTCGACTTGTCACCGCTAAGGCAAAGACATCCGGTCATGATGAATCAGAATTGCCACCCAACGCTGATCAAGAAACGAATGTCTATAGTTTTGGAATCTTGTTGCTCGAAGTCATTTCTGGAAGACTTCCTTACTCAGAAGAACAGGGGCCTCTTGAGAAATGGGTACTATTTGGAATGAAACGTCTTTCATCTAACCCTTTCCTTAAACTCCTGAGATATAGAATGGCATTTTGAACACTCAACAATCTTTCAACGTTGCAGGCATCTCAGTATCTGAATGACAAGAAGAGCATCAGTTACATGATCGATCCAACCCTTAAATCCTTCAAAAACAACGAGCTTGATGTCATTTGCGAGGTTATACAAGAGTGCATTCAACCTGATCCAGGGCAGAGACCAACAATCAAGGATGTCATTTCCAAATTGAGGCAAGAGATTACCATCACACCTGATCAAGCTACCCCAAAACTTTCCCCACTGTGGTGGGCTGAGCTTGAGATTTTATCCGTGGAGGCAACTTAACCAAAAAAAAAACTTCTCTCTGACCCATCTTCTGTGTTGTAAGTCAAGTCTCTCTCTGTTTTGCTCTGTATCCCCAAAAAAAACCCCCCAACGAATAGCATTTTGATCCATGCTAGCCCACTATGAACTAATTCCTTATACCTCATTTTCTTCATTTTGAGTGATTTCTCTCATTTCTCCCCAGCAATTAAAAAGAAAAAAGTGTGTTTCTATTTATGCTATAGTTGTATATCTGTCCAGAGGTCAGAGTCTGTGTTATAAAAAAAACTAACATAGAATCTGGGGTCTTCCCAACAACCTATTGATTTGTGGAAATCTATTTCCTTCTAAATATAAATTTGGTTGTTGAGAAATTTTGAAAGCTTGTACCGTACTTGTTTATGGGATCATTTTTATTAGTTTGTTCCTTCAAAATCAATTTCACCTTTATATATCCTACATAAAAAAATTTTTGAAAAAAAGATAAGAATAAAACATAAGAGAAACAGAAAGCTGAACCTTTTTTTTTTAATGAAACATGTTACATGAAGCATGCTTAATTTAGAATACAAGGACTGGATGGATGACATGCAGTTCATTCTAGAAGTAGCTGATTCTTTCGGTTGTCGACCTTTCTCTTCCCACATTGCCTCAACTGAATCTGGAGCATGCAAGTCCCGGCCAAGAAGTCCACACTCTGCTGTGGACTCAGGACATCGAGAATCCCTTTCAGTGTCTTGAGCCTGACACAATCCGCCGCCTTCATGACCCCCTCCAGCCCTCCCATTATGCTCTTCACCGCCACCTCTGCCAACCCATCTACCTGCCCCACGCACTCCCCCTCCCTCAGCCGCCTCCCCAACTTAAACAACTCCACAATTTTCCTATCCGCCATGGCCACCTGCTGCCTCTCCATTTCTCTCTCCACTTTCTCTTCCTCCAGCCTTATCTTCATCCTCAATTCCTTTACCTTCATTCCCTGCTCCGCCGTCAACCGTCTCAAACTCCCACCTAGAACCCCTGTTTCCTTCATGGTATCAAGAAGCCGAAACATGCCAGACGGCTTCCACCCAGTAACCCACGAAAAAACCTTCTCTGGATTGGTTAACCAAACCGGAGAGAAGAAAGCAAGCACGTCTTCATGAGCGGAAGCCCATTTGACAGTGTAATATTCTTTGTGATGGGAAGTCAATTTGGAAACCAGAGCTCTCTGTTCTTCCTCAGAGCAAACACTCTGTTTCGACAACGTAAACAGCTGGTTGGAGTAGTCATCAAGACGGAAAATCCAGCTCTCGTAGAACTGAGAGAACTTGTCTTCCACCGGAGTCTTCATTGTTGATTTCTATGGAAAAAACAGAGGAAAATCTAAGTAGATATAAATGGGCTTGGAGCTAGGGGGAAAGGAGGGGGGAGTGCATAGCAAGTGGTGCCGTGGTGGTATGAAGATGATGACATGGGTCAAATGGAGGAATAGTGGAAGTGTATAACCTTTGACTGTGTCGAGGAGCCGTGCAATGCATGCGATGGGACTCACCAGCTGGTGGTAAGATTTTGTTGTTCGGGGACACGTGTCAAAGTGGGAAAGCATTTTGGGTAAAACGTGGAACATGGTCAGGAAGTTTATGTTACACGAGGTCCCACGTCTGTCCGCCCCTGCATTTCTCGGGCTCTGATGGAACTTTAGAAGGTTTTACTTAAGCCCTCCTGCCGCCGAACCATCTCCTAGTTCGAGTTCAAATTTATTTGAAACTCCAATCTAACTCTGTATATGTAATGCTTTAAAGGTAAAACTATAAAATTTTAAAGAGTTTTATATTTTACTATTTAAATTACATTAAATTATAAAATAAAATAATCATACGAAAAAAAACTCTTAATATTATAATATTTTTTATTTTCAATTTAAATTTTATAAATTTTTTTATTTAAAAAAAAAAAAA